TATATATATATATATATGTTTGTGTGTGTGTGTGTGTGTGCATGAGAAAAATCCATGAAAAACCCACCAGTATGAAATGAATGGTGGTTTACATTTCACACTCAGCATGCTACTGTATGTGCCACTATGGTAATTTTGTTATTTTGTCATGTTATAAAAGATCCAATATCAAACATTAAACAAACAACGAATGAATAAACCGACCATTTAAATATACACTACCGTCCAATTATGAAGTCAGTAAAAATGTATTTGAAGGAAAGTAATACTTTTATTTAAGCATGCATCAAAGTCACAGTAAAGACATTTATATTGTTACAAAAGATTTAGTTTTTAAATAAATGCTGTTCTTTAGAACTTCCTATTTATGGAAAATGTTTCCACAAAAACAGTAAGCAGTTTTCAGCATTGAAAACAATAAGATTATGAAGTTTATTGAGCACCTAATAATGATTTCTGAAAGATCATGTGACACTGAGGACTGGATTAAGAAAATGAATTTTTAAATATATTAAAACAGAAAACAGCTATTTTAAATTGTAATAATAGTTCACAATATTATTCCTTTTACTGTATTAAAAGAGGCATACGTGAAGCATAAGAGACTTCTTTCAAAAACATAAAAAAAATCTTACTGACTCCAAACTTTTGAACAGTAGTGTGAATTACTGTAACAAAAATATATGGGTCAAAGAGACGTCCCATTTTGGTGTCTGCATCAAATTACATTTGCAAAAGTGATTTTATATACATAGAAAGCATATTAAATGGAAGTAGAGTGTCTACTTTAATGTTTCAAATAACTTTTGTGATAAATAATAAAATGTCAAAATATGGGCGAAATAATATTCCATTGTCATACAGAGTAACAGGTATATTTACGTAAAAATTAAACAACATTCTTATTCTCATTCTGACCCATACTTATTAAAATATATAAAAGAATAAGTGATCATACTAAATTAAAAAAAAACTGAAAAATGCCTAAAATATATAGTGGTTTGAAGGATAGTGGCAAAGATTGGTAAAAATGACAATTATTAACTTTTTGGAAGCTGCACTTTTTGGGAGTCTTTTAATTACATCTAATGATTCTGGTTCTAAATATGCCTGACAAAATATTTTGGTAGATTAAATATTGTTACACTGAATGACATTTTAGTGGGTGTCCTTCTGTAAATCAAGGTAAAAATTTTCGTCTTTGAACCAAGTACATAATGATAATATATATATATATAT